CCAGCTACTTGGGAGGCTGAGGCAGGAGACTCGCTTGAGTCCAGGAGTTGGAGGTTGCTGTGAGCGTGATGCCATGGCACTCTACCCAGGGGGATGGCTTGAGGCTCTGTCTCAAAAGAAAAATACAGACAACAGAAGCGTCTGGGGCTTGGCTGAGGCCTACACAGAGTGGCTAGGACAGATTCTTCTAGTTCTGCTTTTACTTTCTTGCCTCAAGATAACTACAGATAATATTCAGTAAGAATTCAATAAGCAAAGGGAAATTAGCTAGGCACACATTCTGTACAATGACAGCTACAATATTCCCATTGCTTATTATTAGTAATATGCTGATGATGTTGAATCTTCAGTTTATCTGTTTCTTTCCTGAACTTTAGAGCTAAATATTCAGACTCCCTCCTAGGTAAACATTTGCTTAGATATCTACAAAACTGTGCTTCCCTTCTCATGGCCTTGCTCTGTGTCTTAGAAGTCACTTAGAAGTCATCGCGGGCAAATCTGACCTTCCCCCTTGAACCTGGGACCTTGAGGATGATGTCATCTCTCTCTGTTTTATGACCCTCACCTGCACTCCCACCCTGAAAAGTGGATAAAAGAGAGGCAAGAGATTAAGTCGGGGGGCTTGGTTTTGGAGACACACTGGTGTTCCGAGTTACCCCCAGGCCAGAATAAACCCACTTCCTCTAATCAACTGGTGCCTGGAGTCTGTCTGCATTGGTTTCCTGCTACAATCTGATGATACTTGCTTGGTAATACTTGGGTTCATTCTTCTTCCCTCTGTATATAAAGCTTCCCTCCTATTAATTGTGCTTTAGTGTCCCTTAGCTCTATTTATATCTTCCTTATGTCTCATGTTACTATCTTCCTTTAGGCCTTTCTCAGTTTAGATTTGGATTAGAATTTCCTGCTCGGTCCAAGATTTTTCATCCCTGCCCTGCTCGCCTTCACCTTTCATCCAGAGTGAGTTTCTCAAACACAGATCTATTTACTGACCCTTTGCTTACTCGTTACGGCCTCCCATTACCAAAGGTTAGGTTTCAGGCTTCTTAGTGTGGCATATGCACCTTCCCTCTTATCAGTCCATCTTTACCTTTGAACTCTACCCATTAGCCATCATGACCAATCTTCTGTCCTTCAAACTGCTCTTCTGAGCTCCGCCAGTTGTAAAAATTATGATCCCCTTCCCAAGATTAACAGCATCTTCGGAGCGCTTGCTAGTTTTTGCCCTGCCCCTGGGTGCTCCCCTATCTCCTTGCAACTGTCAGTGTCTCACCATTTATCACCCGGCACAGGGGATGAGCAGCACCGTAAAAAGCATCCATCTGTCTGCCCTGGTCTTGTGCTCAGTACTTCTGTGCGTTCCCCCATCGAGGCTGGAGACACTGGGTAACTCCTCAATGCTGGTATCTTCCTTTCCTTTACTCTACAGGCAGCTGCAGGAAGAAATGCTTCCTTGCATCATATAGAGGACTTGAGGGCTGCCGGTGTGATGCAGGCTGTAAAGACCGAGGCGATTGTTGCTGGGATTTTGAAGACACCTGTGTGAAATCAAGTATGGATTCTGAGAATATGTTTATTAGCATGTTGGTTGTGCATATCCAAAATTTCATCTATATCCTAGGGGTATGTTAAAACAAAGTACCACAGACTGGGTGGCTTAGACAACAGAACGTCACTGTCTCACAATTCTGGAGGCTAGAAGTCTCCCTTCTCCTTTGTTTATTTGTTTGTTTTGAGACAGGATGTCACTCTGTTGCCCAGGCTAGAGTGTCAGGGCCTCAGCCTATCTCACAGCAACCCCAAATTCTGAGGTTCAAACAACATGGTCTTGTTTTGCTCAGGCAGGTTTCAAACTCCTGAGCTTGAAGGATCCTCCTGCCTTGGGCTCCCAGAATGGTAGGATTACTGGGTGTGAGCCACTGTGCCAGGCTTTCCTCACGTATCAGTGGGGTTAAGTTCTTCTGAAGCCTGTAAGGCAGAGTCCATTCCATATCTCTCTCCTACTAGCTCCTGGGGGATTGCTGGAAAACTTTGTCTTGTGGTGCATAAATCCAAACTCTGCCTTCACCTTCACACGACCTGTGTCTTCCTTCCATATCTGTCTGTGCCCCGATTCCCCCTCTTTCTAAGAACTCCAGTCATACTGGATTAGGACTCACCCCAATGACCTCATTTTACTTGATTGTCTGCAAGGAATTTGGGTGTGACTATTTCTAAATGAGGTCACCTTCGCAGATGATGGGGATTAGGGCTTCAATGTCTTTTTCGGGGGCACAATTCAACCCAGAGGCAGGGTGGGAGCTGTTCTACCACTCTGTCACTGTCCACTGGGCAGGACCGTGACAGCCAATATTCTCACAGATGTGACTGGGCTCTTAATACTTCTGTCGGCACTGTCTCTTCCTTGCTGTCTTTAAAGAAGGCTGGGCAAAGGTGGTAACCATCAGTCCGAGCTAGTGATTTTTCACCATGTGGAGCTCCTGCCTTTGGGTGGGGAAGGACCAGTGTTTAGAGCTTCTCCGAACTCACAGTGCACCTGCTAGGTAAACCAAAGTCCCATTCTAAAGCTACATTCCTCTCTGCCACCCTTGCTAACGTAGAAAGGTGGTAGGTTGCCCCTTGTTCAGTGTTATATAATTTCATTTGTTAATACAAATAAACCATGAATCTGACTATTATAATAATAAAGAAAGAAGTGTCTGAAATTCATATCTTTTGTATTGCATACGTATGAGCTAAATGCAGATAACTGAACTGTGTTATTTTATAGCTCAAATATGGACATGCAATAAATTTCGTTGTGGGGAAGCCAGATTAGAGTCCAGCCTTTGCTCTTGTTCAGATGACTGTTTGCAGAGGAAAGACTGCTGTGTTGACTATAAGAGTGTTTGCCAAGGTAAGCAGAAGCATGTTGACTCATTTGCCTCTGCAGTTCAGCAGAACTCTATAAATTTCTTAGAGCGATCCTAGGCTACAAAAATTAAGCCAAGTCAGAGACTCATTAGTTATTCCACATAGAAAGAAAGATCAAATGTGTTTACTGTGGAAACAAATGTGGTTAAGGCAGTTTAAAGTAAGAAAGCTCGAAACATAAATATAGAACAGAAGAGTGAGCTTCAATTCCCTTATTCGTCTATAAAGCAAGGTCTTTTTCAATCCAGCAACCATGCCACACATACTCACACTTTGAGACTCCGAATGGCCAATCCTAAAGCTAAAACATGGTAAAAGAGGTTGTCTAGCTCAAGTATTAGCTTGTTAAGCCAATGTTGTTCTTGTTAAAAAAAATCTTTTTTGGTTTATTTTGTTTTTTGAGGCAGAGTCTCACTCTATTGCCTGGACATCAGCCTTCCTCAGCAACCTCAAACTCCTGAGTTTAAGTGGTCCTTCTGCCTCAGCCTCCCAAGTAGCTGGGACTACAGGTGCCTGCCATGATGTCCAGCTACTTTATTTTTTGTGGAGACCGGGGTCTCACTCTCATTCAGGCAGGTCTCAAACCCTGGGCCTCAAGGCCTCCTCCTATCTCAGCCTCCCAGAGTGCTGGGATTACAGGCACAAGCTACCATACCTGGCCACTGGCCACTCTCTAGTAATTATTGCCCCTCAATAGAATTCTTCTCTTCCCTCCTATAATCAGGAGGTTTGCCAGGATCCAAGTCTCCATCCATTCTTCTGTAACCTTGAGATGTTATATGAGGTGATATATATGCTTCTGTACTCCATTGGGTGACTGGATCTTTATTCCACAGGCTGCCATGTTGCATAAAACTATAATCAATTAAATCTGTATGCCTTTTCTCTAATTAATCTGCATTTTTGAGTTAATTTTTTAGTAAACTTTCCAAGGGCAAAAGGGAAGCTTTTCCTTGGTCCTGAAAATCTCAAAACTGATTCGTAGATCATGTGGTAAATGTTTCTACTGTATTTGTCCCAAAGGACTGCTTGAGTTTAACAGAAACAAAAGTGATCATTATAAGCAGTGTTGATGTTTATCATTACCATTAATTGCTTACCCTGATGGAGTGAATTTAATCATTTCAGTTTATTTTTAAAATAAATATAAATGTTTTCTCACTCTGAGGATTCAACACTTTAAATTTTAAAATATTAAATTATTTTTGTCAAAATAGCCTTTTCATTGAGAAGTCTGAGAGAATTTGACTCATTTTTATGCAAGAAACTGGCTAGTTACTTTTATATTTTACACTTGATTTTAGCCAACAGGCTGAAAAGTAATAGTTACATTTATATTTTAGTTTAGACTTTTCAAACATTCTGTGATAAATTCCTACCATATACAGAAATAGAACAATTTGAAGTTTTCTCTGTAAGTTCAAGTTTATCTTATATTGACAAAGTATAATTTTGAATGTAAGGTAAAACATGTCAAAAATTTATTCATGAAATAATCAACTAGAATGCAAAGATGGTTAAAAAAAAAGATTAACTATATATAGAACCAGAAGAATGCTGGAATGAAATCATGTACACTAGAACTTTTGGTGGAACACAAAGTATTTTTATTTCTATAGGATAATTTATTTGCTATCTGACAAATTAATACTTATTTTCTACCAGTTAATTACTACCTTTACTGAGTTGTAAAATAAATAATAAAGAATGAGCTAGATAAAAATACATACCCTTTGGTAACTACCTAATTCATAAGTGAACTTTTTTTTTTTTTTTTTTGA